ATGGTATATTACATTGATTGATTTGCATATATGGAACCATCCCTGCATTCCTGGTATGAATCCTACATGGTCGTGATGCATAATCTTCTTGATGACTTGTTGTATTCTGTTTGCTAGTATTTTATTGAGAATTTTTGCATCTATATTCATTAGACAGATTGGTCTGTAGTTCTGTTCTTGGTTGGGTCTTTCCCTGGTTTTGGTATCAGAATAATACTTGTCTCCAGGAATGAGTTGGGGAGAATTCCTTCCCTTTCAATTTCATTAAAGTGTTTGAGAAGAATTGGTGTTATATCTTCCCTAAATTGCTTGTAGAATTCAGCTGTGAATCTATCAGGACCTGGGCTTTTCTTCATTGGCAAGGTTTTAATTACATTCTCAATTTCACTGGCTGATACTGAGTTATCAATATCAGGATTTTTATGTCTTCTTCATTCAACTTTGGTAATTCATACATATGTAGAAATCTGTCCATTTCCTCTCTGTTTTCCATGTTATGAGTAAAGATTTTTCAAAGCAGGTATTGATGATCATCTGAATTTCTTCAGGATCTGTGGTGATTTCACCCCTTTCATTCCTTATTGCATGTATTTCAGTTTTTTCTTTCTTTTTTTGATAAGGTTGGCTAGGGGTGTATCTATTTTATTTATTCTTACAAAGAACCAACTCTTTGATTCATTAATTCTTTGTATTTTTTTTTTTTTTAGTCTTCATTGCATTAATTTCTGCTCTGAGCTTTATAATTTCCTGCCTTCTTTGGGCTCTGGGTTTGACTCACTCTTCTTTTTCTAGGAACTTGAGGTGCAGCATAAGATTGTTTATTTGTGCTTGTTCTGCTTTCCTGAGGTGGAAGTTCACCACTATAAATTTCCCTCTGAGGACTGCTTTCCTTGCATCCCACAGGTTCCTGTAGGTTGTATCTCCATTTTTGTTTGTTTGTAAATAGTGATTAATCTCTACTTTGATTTCATCTGTCATCCATTGGTTGTTCAGGAGGATGTTATTTAATTTCCAACTGTTTATGGAGTGTCTGTGTTTTCTTTTGTCATTAATTTCCAATTTCATTGCACTATAGTCTGATAGTATACATGGGATAATTTCAATTCCTTTCAATTTACTTAAACATGTTCTGTGTACTAGTGTATGGTCTATTTTAGAGAACGTTACATGTGCAGCTGAAGAGAATGTGTATTCTGATGCTGTTGGTTAGGACACTCTGTAAAGGTCTACTAAGTCCATATGTTCACAAGTTTGCTTAAGTTCTGTTATTTCTTTCCCAATTTTTGTCTACTTCATCTACCTCATTGTGACAGTGGTCTGTTAAAGTCCACTGTTATGATTGTGTTGCTACTTATACCATTTTTCATGTCTGTTAGAATTTGTCTTATAGAGGTATGTGCTCCTATATTTGGTGCATAGATGTTTAGGATTGTTATCTCTTCCTCTTGAAGCTTCCCCTTCACAAGTATGTAGTGACCTTTATCTCTTTTGATTGTTCTTGGCTTGAAGTTCATGTTGTCTGCAAACAGAATAGCTACACCTGTTTATTTCTGGGTTCCTGTCGCATGCAGTATCGTTTTCCATTCTTAAATTTTCAGTATTTGAATTTCCTTTTGAGTTAAATGTGTTTCTTGTATACAGCTTATATTTGAGTTTTGTTTCCTAATCCACTCTGCATGTCTCCTTCTTTTGGTTGGTGCATTGAGACCATTTACATTCATGGTTATAATGGATATGTACTGGCTTACCTTTGTTGTGCTATTTTCCTGCTGTTGGATCCTCCTTTTCCCCTCTGTTTAATTGCTTGCTCTGCTTGTTGGTTCCTTTCTGTTGTTGCTCTTTAAGTTGTGGTTTGTTTTATCTCTTTCTAGTATATCTTTTAGTACTCTTTGTAGGATTGGTTTGGTGCTCATGAATTTCTTCCATTGTTCTTTATCATGAAAATATTTTATTTCTCCATTAAATTTGAAAGATAGCTTTGCAGGGTACATCAATCTGGGTTGGAAGTTGTTTACTTTCAGTACCTGAA